CATTTTTTTTTTTGGTAGTAAGCTTAACATTTATACTTGGATGGAAATAATGCTTCATCCATTTTTTAAAGATAATTTTTCATGCACATTGTCAGGGTAATGTGCACAATTGACAGGAGACTAGGGGTTACTTAAAGGAAAGGTTTGCTACTTTACAGATGATGTGAAAATTAGATGTTCTGTCCTCAGAAAAGCCCATCGCCCTCTCTCACTTTACATTGGAGCTGTAAATATTTTGCCCCAAAGATCCTAATTTTTCCCAGTGTTATGGAGAAAAACAGCAATTCATTCACCTGGAGCCAATTTCAGGGAACGGCTTTCATGGCTGACCCGCAGAGCAGCTGGTGGAACACCCAAATGCAAGTGTCAGGAAGAGCAAAACTTTCTCGTCCCCCTCAGGGCTTCCAGAAAGCCTCTCCCTCCGCAAACCCCTCCCCTGCAGCTGGTAGGGCTGGAGAAGATGCAGGTGCCTCCAATGCGGAGAGGGCGGGGTCCTGCCCAGCTGCCTGCTCTAAAAGCACAGAGCAGCCCATCCCTTTGCCTGGTGGACTTGGTGGTGCCTTTGGCCATGGCGGGCAGGCAGAGAGGAGACGGTGGGAGTCCCTTGAGCCGGTTCAGCGCAGCCTGGAGGTGAGTAATTCTGGGGGCAGAGGAAGGGGACACAATGGTCTTGTCTGCTTAAGTTCGTCCCTTCTTAACTCTCTCCCCCATCCTCTTCCATCACCTACAGGCCACTTTCTCTATTCTTCACCCTTGTGACTTTGGTGAACTCAATAGATGTTGCTCAGCTGGGGATGTCTACCTTCTCAGGTATGCCTGTTGGGTGAGCAAAATGCCCTTAGCGTCTCTCGAGCAGGGGGCAGCTGGGGTGCCTAGATGGCCAGGAAACACACACATGGGGCAGACGATCTCCGCTTCCCCCTCTTTCTTACCTTGATCAAGTCAATAGGCTTCCCCATCGCTTCCCCATGGCTTGCTATCCAGCTAACTGAAAGAGCTTGCAGGAACACCTGTACTTCTTTCTAAGTCCTCACTGCCTCAAGCTTCATGGCATCCAGAGAACAACAAACCACAGCAACTAAGCCCTGCTCCCTGCAATCTTCAAACACAAACTCATGCTTAAGGAAAACATCAAGATAACAGACCAAATCAGAGCTATTCCATTTGCAATGAGGAGTGTTCTGCGACTTTCCCCTGAGCCAGAAGATGCAGAGTGACAGATAATAGGCAGAACTTAGTCTTAAAAAAGTGTCCTTGGGCTCACCCACGGTGTTTTTCAAAAACTTCAGATTGAAGAATCTTCAGATAAAACTTTTGTTCTCCAGTTCTTCACAGACCTATCACCCCCATCTGCATCAGCGTCACTGTCAAGGTTTCCGCCTGGCTCCTGTAGGGATGTTTGTCAACCCTAAGCCAGGCTTATCCCTGGCGTGCTTTGGGAAGCCCAGGCTCTTACCCGATACCTTCCTTACAGTTCTGGGTAACTCACATTCTAGCAATGTCTTTCCTACCAATGTGTGAGCTCCCTGAGGGTAGGGGACAAGCTTTGTTTCTTCCAACTGGCATCCTTCCCTGGTTCCTGTTGGAGAGGAGAGGTCCCTCTCTACACCGCTGTGGGGTGCCTCCTACAGTTCAGAGGCCCCCAACGCTTCCTTTGCTCTTTAGGTACCATCACCTGCCATGATGATAGAATGATAGTGGAGTTTTCAAGCAATCTTGGCATCAAGAAATGGCATGCATCTGTGATGGGTAGGTAATGCATGTATTCTCATCACCGTCTTACTTAGCAGAAAGCCGTTGGCTCAAGGCCAGCCTCATTTTGCTGGTGAGCAGAGGATACAAACTCTAGAGTAACGGGCATCCAGTTCCCATGATGCCACAGGGGTCCCTGATTTGCATGATGCTACCAGGAGTGGGAGACCTTGTCTTTCTCTTATCTCAGAATCTCCTGCGAAATTTTTAGCTGCAAATCACAGAATCTCTCAAAGCTTGGGTCATATCACCCGTTGGAACAATAAAAAAATGAAGTCATTGAAGTGCCTGAGACCTGGACTGGCAGTCTTGGCTACGTAGCTTCGGTTGACTCTGTCACTGAAATGTGCTTTCTTGGTCATCCCCTGTCTAACCTGCTCTGGCTTCTGTAGATCCCTTTGGTCTTGAAATGCTGAACTGTACTTATGACCTGGACCCAGAAAAGCTCACCCTGAGGGTCCCCTATGAGACCTGTACCAAGAGAGTGGTAAGTAGTTGCTTCTGGAGGTGATTTGGGGAGGAGTTGCCTAGTAGATACCACTTGTAACCTAGGAATTAAGGACATAGGCTTTGGAGTAGAGTAGTGAGTCTCAACAAGGGTGACCTTTTGGCATTGTTTGGGGACATTTTTGGAGACGTTCTTGGTTATCACAACTGCAGGGGGGAGGAGGCTTCTATGGGCATCTAGTGGGTACAACTCAAGGATGATACTAAATAGCCTACACTGTACAGGGTACTTCCTCCCCGCTCCCCCCACCGTAACACAGAATTATCAGGCCTGAAACGCCAATAATACTTGGTTGAGAAACCATGGAGTTGAGAAGGGCTATTTCAGAAGGGAAACATTTTACTGGCAGGAGGTCTTCACTGCAGAGTCAGATGAAGTGGCCTGTTAAATCTGCAGATTTCCAGGGTGTACCCCAGACCCACTAAGTCCTCAGCTAAGTGAACTAGGTGTGTACTTCCCGCGTATCCCAATCGTTCTTGGCACACGAAGGCCTGAGCACGTCTGCTCGGAGAGGTTGCTTTCCTTGCTCCTAGCAGCCCTGGACTTGAGTCCTGGCTCTGCCACAATCTAGGTGTTACCTTGGGAAAGTGAGCTACGCTGTCTCAGCTCCTGCTGGCCCATCAGACAGTGGGTGTCATGGTACCCTCTCCACATGGTATCTAAAAACTAATGACATAAGAGTGCAGATGAAGGACTTGGTACAGCACCTAGACACACATGCTCAATCGTGAGCTGCTGTGATCTGTCACCCCTCTGGGAACCGGGAGGCTATCCTGGTGCTAGCAGACAGAACCTGCATGCTGTGAGAACAGGTACAGGAAAGCAAGAGCTGCTAAGCGATAGGGTCTTCTCTATGGCTGAGCAACAGCACTGCCCAATCAAGGTGTTAGGGGCAGGGAAAGCAGCCTCTCTGAGCAGGCGTGCTCAGGCTTCAGTGTGGAAAGAATCACTGGGCTACTTGGAAAGCACAGGCCTAGTTCACTTAGCCGACAACTTAGCAGGTCTGGGGTACATCCTGGAAATCTGCAGGCTTAACAGGCCACTTCATGTGACTGCAGGGAGGACCTCCCGTCATTCAAATTCTCCCTTCTGATAAAACAGCCCTTCTTTAACTTCAGGGAGTTCAGAGTTGCATTGCTTTTGACCAGGGGTCTGCAAACTATAACCTATGGATAGCCACATCCAGCCCCTGCGTGTGTGTGTGTGTGTGTGTGTGTGTGTGTGTGTGTGTGTGTGTGATGGTCCTTGAGCTAAGAGTGGCTTTTATGTTTTTAAAGAGTTTTTTAAA